ACAAACCAACAACCACCCTGCGACAGCTTCTGATAAACGTAAAGGATCCCATACCTACAACCAATAAAACTAAGGTAATGTACAAAATACCATGTAAGGACTGTGAAAAACATTATATAGGCCAAACTGGAAGAAAACTGACAATAAGGATACATGAACACCAACTAGCCACCAAGAGACACGACCAATTCTCACTGGTCTTCATACACACTGACAAAGAAGGACATGAATTCGACTGGGGCAACACATCCATAATAGCACGAGCCACACAGAGAAATTCCAGGTAATTGCTGGGGGCTGGAACTCCATCAACAAGCACATTAAACTGGACCCGATACACAAACCACTGAAAAACAGAACTGGAAGTAATGCCAACCACCCCAGTAAACCGAGGTTTATAAATAACAAACGGGACAGAACAACAGTGCTTCACCGGAGGCACACTGATGATGTTACCTAGCAGGGAGACGAAACGTCTGCAATTACCACTTTATTTTTAATTTTTCGTAATTATTCTCTGCCCCAATTAATTGGATTACAGATCATCCCTTCGCTTGCTATTCACCTTTTGACACTTTGTTCACACTGTCTGATACTTTTGAATCACCTGCAGAGACTTACTAGTCAGCCTGTCAACACTCCACTGACACCATTTGTGTGATCTTTTGATCTCTCTGCCTATTGATCTCTCTGCCTATTGATCTCTTTGCCTCTAAATTCTGTGCCTCTATGCTTTTCTTCACTTCACCTAATGAAGCAGCAGTGCTCCAAAAGCTTGTGATTTCAAATAAACCTGTCAGACTATAACCTGGTGTCATATGACTTTTGTGCTAATCATAAAGATTGCTTGAGAGAGTCTGGCACCATTAATGTCTGTGGTGTCAGCAGCAATATTGATCAAAATCATAATCACATTCATGGGAAATCTTCAAAAACATTAATAGAACAATGGGAGCTATGTGCACTTTGGAATTTCTTAAAATAGAGAAGAGGTTAGATGACCAGTAGACTCATCTAAAGGCCAGTAATTGTAGAACTTCTTTGATCATAACAAAGGGTGGCTTTTTTCCCCCAATCAGCCTGTCCAGAGATGTTATGACACACCTCTGGAGCAGATGGGATTTAACCTGAGTGTCCTGGTTCAGGCAGGAACATGACCACTGCACCACAACACCCCTCTAAAGGATAGCTTTTTTTTTAAATATCAGGAAGTGCTGGCAAACACAACTGAATGTTTTTCCCCTTCAACAAATCACTGTGACTTTTTTTGTTTTTAACTACTAACTACCGACAGTAAAACATCCGTGTAGCCAATTAGAATTAGATTTTATTGTCATGTGTACTCAAAAAGTATAGGAATACACAAGTGCAAAGTATGAATAAGAAGGAAATGGGGGATATGGATCCTGTAAGTGAAGACAGTTTTAATGTGGAAGGACAAAATGCGTCAGTGCAGACTTGGAGGGCTGAAGGGCCTGTTCCTGAGCTTTGTTGTTCTTTAAGAGACAACACAGTGTGGAGCTGGAGGTACACAGCAGGTCAGGCAGCATCAGAGGAGCAGGAAAATTGACGTTTTGGATCGGGACCCTTCTTCAGAAATGGGGAGGAGGAAGGGACCTCTGAAATAAATAGAAAGGAAGAGTGAGGATGGGGAAGGTAGGTGGGATGGTGATAGGTGAGTGCAGGTAAGGAGTGGTAGGGATTGGTCAGTGGGATGGGTGGGGCAGGTAGGTGGGAGAGAAGTTGGACAGGTTGTGTCAGGTCAAGGAGGCAGGGATGAGAGGGAGGGTTGGACATGGGATGAGGCTGGGGGTGGGGAGATTTTAAAACTGGTGATTTCCACGTTTAGGCCATCGGGCTGTCGGCTCCTGAGGCAGAATATGAGGTGTTGCTCCTCCAGTTTGAGGGTAGTGTCATTGTGACACTGGAGGAAGCCTAGGAAGGACATGTTACTCAGGGAGTGGGACAGGGCGTTAAAGTGGTTTGCGACCAGAAGATATTGTCATTTGTCGCAAACAGAGTGCAGATGCTCTACGAAATGGTCTCCAAGCCTACACTTGGTCTCACCGATGTAGAGGAGGCCACTCGGGAGCAGCAGATACAGTAGACCAAGTTGACGGATGTGCAGGTGAACTCCTGTGTAATGTGGAAAGTTTGTTTTGTGCCTTGAATAGAGGTGAGGGGGGAGGTGTAGGGATAGGTGTAGCACTTCCTGCGGTTGCAGGGAAAGGTGCCGGGGGTGGTAGGGTTAGTGGGGAGTGTGGAGCAGATGAGGGTGTCGCAGAGAAAGTGGTCGCTACAAAAGGCAGATAGGGGTGGGGTGGAAATATATCTTTGGTTGTGGAGTCGGATTGTAGGTGGCGTAAAATGATACGTTGAATGCAGAGGTTGGTGGGATGGTATGTGAGGACCAGGGGGATTCAGGAGGTGTGAGGGCAGAAGTGCAGGAAACGCAAGGGATGCGGTCGAGAGCATTTTCAACCACCAAAGAGGGGAAGTTGCGGTCCTTGAAATAAGAGGACATCTGGAATGTGCGGGAGTGGAACACCCCATCTTGGGAGCAGGCACAGCGGAGGCGAACTAATTGGGAGTAGGGGATCGCATTCTTGCAGGAGGGTGGGTAAGAGGGAGTATAACCCAGGTAGCTGTGGGAGTCGGTGGGCTCGAAATAGATATCGGTTTTGAGGCGGTCACCAGAGATGGAAATACAGAGGTCCGGGAAGGATCAGAGATGGTCCAGGTGAATTTGAGGTTGGGGTGAAAGGTGTTAGTAAAGTTGATGAACTGTTCAAGCTCCTCGTGGGAGCACGAGGCAACGCCTTTATTGCTCTTTGTTCTTTTGTCACCATTCTCTGGCGCCATCTTGGTTACAAAATCAGAACTTACAAAAAAGACAACAGCAAAATTTTTTTAAAAAGCTAAAAGGTAAGAAAAATGTCCAGATTTTAAACTTTAAGTCTCATCTCCGTAAAGGTGTTTGGAACCACTGATGCAGGCACCCAGTCTCGGTCAGTCTGCGAGTCTTGCATTGATCCCTGGGAGGAGCCACGTTCTTGTTGTTGCTGCTGACAGATACTATCACTGTGACACAAGAGCCATAAGGGTAGTTTTCTGAATGTACTGAACGATCTAATGATAGTAAAAAGTGAAGTGTAATCTCTAAGGGTGTGCAACTGCAGCATCACTGAAGGTCAATACTTCCCCAATGATTTCAGGTGCTCCCCCAAATACTTTTTAAAGGTTATGCTGCACAGTGTCCAGCATTCCAGAACCCACCAATCTCTGGATGTAAAACATTTTCCTCAAATCCCTCTAAACCTCCTACCTTCCCATTTAAAACTGTGGCCCCTTGTCACTGACTTTTTCAACTATCGAGAACAGCTGCTTTCTATCTACCGTGTCAATGACCTCATAAATCTTGTACCTCAGTCAGGTCCCCCTCAACCTTCTCTGCTCAAGAAAACTACCCAATCTAATCCAGGCTCACTTCATCGCTAGAGATAGTAGGAACTGCCGATGCTGGAGAATCTGAGATAACCATGTGTAGAGCTGGATGAACACAGCAGGCCAAGCAGCATCAGAGGAGCAGGAAAGGTGACGTTTCGGGTCTGGACCCTTCTTCATTGCTAAAATGCTTCATCCCGGGCATCTGAGGGAGAGGGTGTCCCCTTCAGACCTCTATCCTCCCCCTCTTCTCCAGCAAATCATGCTGCTCCACAGAATCACAAAAGTGTTACAATGCAGAAGAAGGACCGTTTTTTCCCTATGCTTTTGCATGTTATTTCTATCCAAATAATCCAATATGCTGTTGAATGCCTTAGTCAAGAATCTGGGGCTCATTGTTTCCTAATCTCCCAATAAAGTGGCATAGTACTGTATTTGTTGTACTAAGGTAAATCTCTGCAATAATTTTTGCTTTGAAATTGGCAAGCTCTTGACTGTCCCAAAGATAATCCAATATGTTTCAGAGTTTCTCTCCAGGACAGCTGGCAATGTTTAAAGGGCTGGTGCATGGGTTGGGGGTGAGAAGACAATGGGAAGGCCAATCATCACCAATTACCACATTATTAAACTCATTGAGGATCTTGTTAAACTTCCTGACAAGAGCCGCATGGAAATTAGACTCTTCATTCTGACAATTCCAAGTCGTCTGTGCAGAAATGTTACATTTATTGCTGGAACATTAGAAAATAGCTTTTAATCTGTACAAAATAAATTTTGATGGACCAAATAGTTCAGGCTTGTACTTTCACATCTCCTGCATGGCCACTTTCATTCCTACTTCCACTCCTGTCCCTGTAAGGTGCTTCTGCCTCTCTACAATATTGAGGGGGCAGCCCCCTACATGGCTACCACTTCTCTTTGCTGCTGCTGATGCCAGGCAGGCAGCTCTCACTTCATGGATAACACAGCAGACCAGGCAGCATCAGAGGAGCAGGAAGGTTAATGTTTCAAGTTGGGACCCTTCTTCAGAAATGGGGAGGACGAAGGGAGCTTAGAAATAAATAGAGAGGAGGGGTGGGGCTGGGGAAGGTAGGTGGGATGGTGATAGGTGAGTGCAGGTAGGGAGTGGTGGGGATTGGTCAGTGAGGTTGGAGGGGCAGATAGGTGGGAGAGAAGATGGACAGATTGTGTCAGGTCAAGGAGGTGGGGATGAGAGGGAGGTTTGGTCATGGGATGAGGCCGGGGGTGGGGAGATTTTGAAACTGGTAAAATCCACATTTAGGCCATTGGGCCTTGGGAGCCTACAGCCCTCACCCGAAACGTCAACTTTCTGCTGTGTTCCTCCAGCTCCATACTGTGTTATCTCTGACTGCAACATCTGCAGTTCTTACTATCTCTCACATCATGGAAGTCCTTTGCATCTCAATTTGATGTTGGTATTTCCTACTGGTAAATAGGCCATTTGAACTTAAAAATGTCAAATGAACTACACACTTGAGTTGGGATTGCATACTTTCTTTGGAAATCAGCCCATTATTCTGCTTCTTGCTCGACAGGTCCTTCCAGACTTGAAGCTTAAGACACCATATTGGTCATCTCAGAGATTCCTGAGTGCCTAAAATATCTGATGAAAATCATCCTGCAGATGTCCAATCAGAAACAGTGAAGGGGAAGAATCAAAATTGTTTCTAAAAGTTGAGTGGATATTTGAGTTATTATTTTCTAAAAGAATGTTGGGAAAGATTAAAGAATTAAACTCCAACAGTACTTGACATTTTATTTCATATTTCCAGCATTTATAGTATTTTATTTGTGGAGGTAAGATCCACACTTTGGCTTTGTGATGGGAAATATCACTGTCTCAAACTCTAGCTGCAGAATTAATAGCAGTAAAATTGAAATTGCAGGAGCAAAATTTAATTTCACCTTCCTCCAAGTTTGAGTCATGTGACTATATTGTACAGGAAAAGTGTAATTTATTAACATTGCAATTGCCAGCATCATTCTTGCTGATTTAGATGGCAACTTGCCATGTCTACATTTACTTTGTAAAAATAAATCTCATGAAGAGGCCAGTTTGATCCAGGTGCTATAAATATCTTATACAGCTCTCCTCATGAATACACTGGCACTAGCTAACTGACTCTACAGTGATTTCAATTTCTCAAATCTATTTAAATTCCTAGACCTACAGGCCAGGTCATTGAAATGACTTAAACAATCGGATTCCATTTGTCTGTAGATTTGTTGAATTGACCAGAAATATTAACAAGTCATTCAGACCACATTGTCAGACATTTGAGATTTAAAAATGCATTGGAGACTGGAACAATATTCATTTCTGTAATATTTTACCCTAAATTCCTATGTATTATAGGTTTCCATTAATCTATGTCCAGTTCCAATTGTATTCTGTCCTTTTTCTCTGGACTTAGATTTATAAAATGGTGAAAAATTAATGGCTTACAAATTGGATTTGTTTTCCATTCTGGTGGGAGACTCGTGCGAACCCTCAAATTCAGAGGCAGGATGTCATGTTGCAGCTTTATAAGACTTTGGTTAGGCCACACTTAAGAGTATTGTGTTCAATTCTGGTCACCACATTACAGGAAGGATGTGGAGGCTTTGGAGAGGATGAAAATTAGCTTTACCAGGGATGCTGCCTGGATTAGAGTGTATGAGGAAAGGCTTGAAAAACTCAGGTTGTTTTCTCTGGAATGTCAGAGGCTGAGGGGAGACCTGATCGAAGCCTGTAAAATTATGAGATGCGGAGATAGGGTTGACGGTCAAAATCTTTTTTCCGAGAGTTGAAATGTCTAGTACTAGGGAGCATGCGTTTAAGGTGGGGGTGGGGTACTTTTTTCACAGAGTGGTAGGGGCCAGGGGTAGTGATGGAGGCAGATACGATAAGGGCATTTAGGGAACTTTTAGATAAGCACATGGATATGCAAGGAGTGGAGGGGTATCGACCAAGAACAGGCAGAAGGAATTAGTTTAATTTGATGCCATGTTCGGCACAACGTCGTGGACCCAAGAGCCCATTCCTGTGCTGTACAGTGCTATGTTCTATTTTATTTAGTATGCAATTCTTCGCAGATTCACTTTTACTCATTGGGAGAGATGCATCCAACTGATTGAAAAGTAAGGGGCTGCATGAGTCATTCCCTGATAAAATTTATATCAGTCTAGTTCCTTGCTCAGCCCTATTATACACTCCATCTAATACAGGGATGAGTGTTCAGTATTTGAGTATTTCTCTTTCTCCAATTTTGTTCATCAGCTGAGGAACATAGGAACAGGAGTAGGCCATTCAGCCTTGAGTATGCACCACCATTCGATATGATCTTGGCTGATCTGCGACCCGAGTCCATATGCCTACTTTGGCCCATAAATACATAATTAATGGTAGAGCCCTAGGGAGTGTTGCTGAACAGAGAGACCTGGGGTTCAGATACATAGTTCTTTGAAAAGAGCATCTCAAGTAGACAGGGTGGTGAAGAAGGTGTTTGGTATGCTTGCCTTCATTAGTCAGAGCATTTGAGTATAGGAGTTGGCACGTCATGTGGCAGCTATACAAGACCACATTTGGGGTACTGCATACAGCTCTGGTTGCCCTGCTATAGGAAAGATGTTATTAAATTGGAAAGGGTGCAGAAAGGATTTACCAGGATATTATCGAGACTGGAGGATTTGAGTTAAAAGGAGAGGCTGGATAGGCTGGGCTTTTTTCTCCCAGGAACATAGGAGGCTGGGGGGGTGACCTTGTAGAGATTTATAAAATCATGAGGGATGTAGAAGGTGAGTAGCAAGGGTCTTTTTCCTGGGGTAGGGGAGTCCAAAACTAGGGGGCATAGTTTTAAGGTGAGAGAGGAAAGATTTAAAACGGACCTGAGGGGCAACTCTTCCACACAGAGGGTTGTATGTGTATGGAATAAGCTGCCACAGGAAGTGGTAGAGGCTGGTATAATAACAACATTCAAAAGACAAGTACATGAATAGGAAAGGTTTAGAGGGATATGGGCCAAACACAGGCATAAGGGACTAGTTCTGTTTAGGAAGCTTGGTCAGCATTAACAAGTTGGACTGAAGGGTCTGTTTCCATGCTGTATGACTTTATGTCAGGTAAACTGAGCCGAAAATCTCCTTGTAAGTAAAAGAAAAGCAAAAAAAAATTAACAAGCAGAGATTATAAAAACTGACAACAAGAGCTGTTTTAATTATTTTAAAAGGAAGAGACAGGTCAAAATGAACATAGATCCCTTAAAAAATGAATTTGGTCAGATAGTTCTGGGAAAAATGAGTTGGCAGATGGGTTAAACGGATATTTTGCATTGGTTCCGCACGGAACAACGAGCCAGCTCAGTGAGCCAACCAACCACAACATTTTGCATTGGTCTTTTTGGTGGAAGATATTTTGAAGATCTCATTAATACCAAAGAATATGAAGAAGGAATTAAGTACCATCACCCTCACTAGGGAAATAGTATTAGATAAAATAATGGGGCTCAAGGCAGATGTGTGCCCTGGTTTGCATGGCTTGCCCCTTCAGGTCCTAAAAGAAGTAGCAGCAGAGAGTGGATGCAATGGTTGTAATTTGCCAAAAATCATTGGATGCTGGAGAAGTACCAGAGGATTAGAAAACTGCTAATGTACACCACTATTCAAAAAGTGAAGGATACAAAAAGCAGGTAACCACAGGCCAATGAGCCTAACATCTGTAGTTAGAAGAATATTGGAATCAATTAAGGACCTAATAGTAACATGTTTGGAGAATCATAACTTAATCTAGCAGAGCCAGCATGGCTTCATGAAAGGGAACTCGTATCTGATTAGGTTAAAACATAGAAGATAGAGCAGTACAGCACAGGAATCTTTCGGCCCACCATGTCTGTGGTGACCACAACACCATTCTAAACTAATTCCATCTGCCTGCACATGGTTCATATTCCTCTCTTCCCTTCTCGTTCATGTGTCTGTCTAAATGTTTCTTAAACATTGCTATCGTATCTGCTTCTACCGCCTCCCCGACAATGCATTCCAGACCTACCATCATCTGTCTAAAAAGCTTGCCACGCACATCTCGTTTAAATATTTCCTCCCTCACTTTAAACTTATGCCCCTTGGTATTTGACATTTCCACCCTGGGATTTGGCCTCCAACTATTCACCCTATCCATTCTTCTCATAATTTTATGTACTTCTCCAAATTGCACCTCAGCTTCTTCTCCAACTATTCACCCTATCCATTCTTCTCATAATTTTATGTACTTCTCCAAATTGCAACCTCTCCTTATAGCTAATACATTCACATCCAGGCAACATCCTGGTAACTCTCTTCTGCATCCTGTCCAAAGTCTACATACTCTTCCTGTAGTGTGACCAAAACTGCACACAATACTCCAAATGTGGCCTGACTAAAGTCTTATACAGCTGCAACATGACTTGCCACTTTTTATAACCAATGCCCTGACCGATGAAGGCAAGCATGCCATACAAGAGTGAGAGGATGTAGCTTTAAAGTGATTTGCAAAAGTAAGAAATGTGATGTGAGAAAAAAAGATATACTCAATGTGTAGTTAGGGTATAGAATGGTTGGAAATGTGGTGGTGGGGGTAGATTCAAGTATTCCCTTCAAGAAAGCATTGGACAATAATTTGGATAAAAAATAATGTGAAAGATATGGGGACAAAGCAGGAAACTGACACTAGGAAATGATGAGATAACAAGGTGTAGAGCTGGATGAACACAGCAGGCCAAGCAGCATCAGAGGAGCAGGAAAGCTGATGTTTCGGGTGTAGACCCTTCTTTGAAGAGCTGGTGCAGAAACAATGGCATCCTTCTGCACCTTCACACATCAGTGATTCTGTATATTGGTAGGAGATCACCACATACTGATCGCCTTCACATTGGAAATAACCAAAGTTGTGTGGCACTGTCACCGTGCTAAATAGGATAGATTTCAAACATGCCCAGCAAATCAAAACTTGACCTCTGTAGGCCTTCAGCAATAGGTGAATTGTATTCAACACAATCTGTAACCCGGTGGACTAACATATGCCCCACTCTACTGCTGCCATTAAGCTAGGGGTCAGACCTGGTTGAATGGAGAATGGAGGAGGGCATAAAAACAAAATTGCAGGAGAAGTTCAGCAGATCTAGCAGCATCTGTGAAGGATAAAACAGAGTTAACATTTCAGGTCTGGTCACCGGACCCAAAACGTTAACTCTATTTTCTCCTTCACAGATGCTTCCAGACCTGCTGAGCTTCTCCAGCAATTTGTTTTTGTTCCTGATTTACAGCATCCGCAGTTCTTTCAGTTTTTATTTATATTTGAGGGAATGCCTGAGCAGCACCAGGCATACTGAAGAATGAGATGTCAACCTGAGGAAGCTACAAAACAGGAATACTTGTATGCCAAACAGCAAGAAGAAATTTGCAACTGACAAGAGCCAAGCAATACCACAGTCAACAGATCAGCTCTGATTTCTGCAGTTCTGGCACATTCATTTGTGAATGGTGGTGGGGGGACAATTACAACTCACTAAAGAAGACCTTGTTCTCAATGATAGGTAACCCAGCACACATCAATGTAAAAGATATGAGAAAAGAACTATAGATGCTGGAAATGTGTGGAGTGAAAGGAGAGTTAACATCACCAACTGAAAGTTCCCCTCCAAGCACTCCCCATACTGACTTGGTAAGATATTGCTGTTGCTTCACTGTCACTGGGTCAAAATCCTAACAGCATTGTGGGTCTACATA